TCTCTCTCTCTCTCTCTCTCTCTCTCTCTCTCTCTCTCTCTCTCTCACTAAGACAATGTCTATGAAAGTTGGTGCCGTAGAGTTCATACACTCCTCCACACTACTGCTGATGTGCAGTCGCACATGATCGTACAAAAGGTGGAAATCCAGTTCGACATAATTTTGGAAAAAAAAAACCCTAAAATCCGGCACATGACAAAAAAAAAACGATATGAGCACTCGTACGAGCGCATGATCTACTCTATTGCCATCTCCGTCAACAGTGCTAAGCTACAACTTTTGTGCAACAAAATGTCCGGAAGTGCTACAGCAACGCAAGTGAACAAGGTCATTGCTCAGACCGTTGGCTCGACGGAGTACACTCTTCGCAATGTTGAAGTTGGTGGTTAACTTGATTTTTTTGAATTTGCGGTTGACTCCAGTTGTTTCTTCGTTCTCTACGATGACTGTTGAGATAGAAGCAGTGATGGCAGTCCTCCGAGCAACGAATTGTAACATTGCATCCCGTGCGTGAATACAATATTGTTTAACGTGCTGCTTGTACGCTCGCACCATCGAGTCTCCTGCATCACTCCGCGGGATTTTTTGTCTCCATGCCTTCGTTGCACATATTGTAAGCCCTTCGTGGTATTCAACAACAACACATGCAATGGTGGCGCTGCATTTCTCTGTCACCGGGGCAGCCACAAGGCCGTAACCGTAGAATACCTCCTTGTATCGTGCGTTTCCGTCCTTCTTGTAATTATTATTATTCTAACGGTCGCACACCCCCACGAGGTTGTAAATCTTTCTTCTTGCGCTTAGAGGATACACGTGCAGTGACGATTCGTAATATGCAAAATCCCAGGTGACAAATCCGATGGCGTTACGTTGTCTCCTCAGTCGGTCTGATATCAGTTCCCCCCATTTGATTGGCGTTCCCCACCAATCTTGTCTTAACTGCCTCTGCATCTATTCCGGATTCATACTGCACGGACCAATATGAAAAAGATAAAGAGCGGAAAAAAAAAAAAAAAACACATACATAAAAAACACAGATGAACGTCGGTCAATGCGGATAAGCACGCAAGACGGATTGCAGGTTGTTCCGTTTGCCACTTTCGCGCCGATGAATATGATCGACGATATTAAACTTTGTGACGGTGTTAGTTTTTTTAAGTTTTTTCGTTTTACCCTCTTCATTGTGGCATGTTATCACGGTCATCGCCACGTGAATGACGATCCTCGACCTTTCGTTGATGACACGCAACATTGCATCTTTGATTTTGTTGAATAGACGTCTGACAAGCTTCAGCGTCGCCCTCCTGTAGTTGCTGTTTTCGAACGTCGACGACACCTTCGTTCGTTCAATCCGTGTTGCGCACCGTGTCAGACTACCGTCTGAGCAGAGCGCCACGCACGTTACCGATCCATGATGCTCACCCCCCCTGCCCCACATGTGAACATACCCCAATCCATAGAACACTTCGGTCCATTTGCCGGAGTCGTGGCTTCCGAAGTTTGCATCCGACACTATCGTCTTGGCGAGCTTGTAAACTCCATCTCGCATCTCGTCGTGCCACAGCTCAATCGAGGGCCAAGATGCGCACCAGCCGGTGCAGTCTATACCGACATCTCTCATTTGCGTTCTTGTTTTCCATGAGATGAGTTCCTGCCAGCGCACAGGTGTCCCCCATTTCTCGTTGCGCTTCCGGTACGACGATGCAAACATTCTAAACACAATGAATGAAGGAGAAAAACGCAATCCAATGGAGCAATTAGCGATGTGAACTAATTTGTTCGTGTTCAAAAGATGATCTTCATTACGCATGTCACACGTCACGACTACATAGATGTGTCTGAAGCAGATCCCATATCGTGCGTTGATGAAGGCGTCTTGTCAGGGACAGCCAACGACAACAGTGCATTCAAAGCTTCTCGTTTCGGGATATGCATACCCGTTTCAGAGCGTTTATTGCTGGACCATGCCCACACAATGGCGTCGAGGTCTTGCCACCCGTCGTTTGTTTCAGTTTCGACCTTCCATGATTTTTCCCATGCGCCCGCATACAGCTTTGCCAAATCGCGCTCCCTTCCGCAAGGAGTCCAGTACTTGACACGGATGCGATTATCGTCCCGCTCCTGAACTCGTCCAATCCAGAATGTGCAGCCCTTTGCAACATACTCGTCGGGCGCGCGGAACACGACGAAGTTGTTCACGGCAACAGACTCGTGCGGTTTGAACTCCGGCTTGGGAGCGTCTTTTTTGTAACCGACGAAGCAAGGTTTCCTCGGTGGCGAGTCGAGAACATGCGGCGCACGTAACGGGAGATCTTGTTTATCGGGCATGGGGGATGACCAGAAGGCACCTTGAAGGGGCACCGTGCCGCTCTCCTCTTGCGATATGTTTTCAAACTTCTTGAGATGGTCGGTCCAATAGCTCAAGCGTCTACGTTTTATTGCTCTTGTGTGTTCGTCTTGTGTCACCCATTGGTTTTGTGTATTCTCCCACGATTTATGAAGAACACGTACCCTCGTCATCCCGTTAACGAAATCGCGTGCCAATGGATTAGGCGACTCACAGCAAGGTTGGAAATCCCACTGAGGCCCTGCCCACCCGTTGTTTGCGTCCCTTACAAGCCAATACACAGGGCCAGTATCCGGCTCCCATTTTTTGTCAGTGCAGAACTCCTTGTACATCATGGCGGGGTTGTCCCCATCCATGTAAAATTGGAAGAGGTGTGGCGTGGCATGACCCTTGATTTTATGGTCGATGTATGGATCTATGGCGGTTTTCCAGTCAACAATTTCAGTGAGCAATGTGCAATCGACTTCCTCTTCGCAGGACGCTTTGAGGACATCGAAGAGCTCATCCATGGTATACGCATCGCAACCGCTC